GGATCTTCTGCGAGATGATAGGGATCATAGTTCCGGCCGCGGACACGACGAAAATGATGAAGATGGAGCCAATATGTAGCCCCATGTCGTACTCATTGTCCCCATCGAGAGTGACGCACCCACAGCATGTTTCTTCGGCCATTGTGCTGAATTATAGAGAGCGAAAATTACAGTCGATGCTGGTGGTGTGGACGCTGGAGAGCAAATGCAGGAATGATGACCGCGGCTTCTGTAGCGGCCAGTGGGTTCGTATCTACCGGCCCGGCGCAGAGAGAGCCGTAGAGTGGTTGGCGAAGGACCAAACGTGTCACAACCACACCAAAGTCGGCGCCGCCGTCGGATAAACCTTTGCAAATTTGCACATCGTGGAGGGATCAAGTTCTCCTGGCGCACGGTCAGGGCACCAGGGACGGTTTCCATTGGCTGTCTAGCGCGCCGCCGTCGGACAAGTTGAGTTTTCCTACCTTCTTTTTCCCCGGATTTCCATTCAAGCGTCAAGCAAACGGTCCAAATCAACGCTGGTTGATGAGGCAGGCCACACCGTGCGGCGCACGGTTGGTTGCTGGCCATCAACAAGCAAAGCGCAAGTCTCACTTGAGGCTTTGCAGGCCGTGCTCAGCACGAATCTGGACGTCAAGCAACGGGGTCGTTATTAATCGGCGTCACTGCGATTAACCAAAGCTGCAATACTGTTGGTGGGCTAGTCACCTACAAGAGAGCCTTGGATTACACTAGGGCAGGTTAACCTCAGTTCAGCATTGAACGCATGCTTCTTCCTCCAGCGGAAGACCTCCGCACAAACGCCATGAATCTCCAGCCTCCCTTGCCATTCCTACACCCCCACCTCTGAAACGAACTGCGGGACAATTCATTATTCATTATGGACTCAATTCCGTTGAGATGCACTGACACTCTGCAGCTGGAATAGGCGGCAATACTGGATGCATATTTGAGCACGTCTTACACCCCGGAGAAGGAGCCCTGCTTATTCAGCAGTCAAATGCCGGCAGTGTTTCGGGCAGCATCCGCTAGCAGTGCTAGCATAGCACTGTTCCATCGTCGTGTGGACGGCCGAAGAGATCATTCGCGATTTTTTCAACCCATTCATATGGTAAGAGCAACTTGCTCTTATTAGCGTTCTTTTTTGAACTTCTTCAGCTTGTAAAGGAAAAGCTAAAGTAAGAGCACATGCTCTTAAAGTGATCTGTCTCGGTACTTCGATTTGGCGCCAAAACACAGATATGCACAAACATTTCTTTTGTGCAATGGACCGCAGTAGATTGGACACGGAGCGTCGGCTGCGCGCCATGGAAGCAGCATTCGCTCGTGAGCGGCAACAGCGCGATCTACTTGAGAAGAAGTACGCGCGTTTGAAGCGGCGCTATGTGCGGCTGGAGCGCTCACATAACCGCCTCCTGATGGATTCGAATGGGGTGCGTCATTTCTCCAAATATTGACGTAGTTTATTACTTGAAATGCTGATGAGTTTCTGCTATCCGCTGTCGTAAAAAGAGCGATAATGGCGGTCAAACGTCCACTTCACAATCCGACACGTCACAGAGTGTCGAGTCCACGCCGAACTCGCGGACATCATCGGTAAGTCTGTTCTCTATCCATCGCTATTGATACAAGGCTACGTAGGATTTAACCCCCAATAATATGCTCAGTTTTCGGTGATAGACCTCACAAGTCCCCGTCCTCGCTCCAGCTCCGCAATGACAAGCAACAACGATCCACAAAACAGCGTGTCGAGAAGCTTGCGGAGCTATGCGCTGGATGACATCTGCGCTGAAAGCCCGACTTCGTCTCTCGGGTCTCCACAACTATCGACAAGGGAATCACACAATAGTGACGATCAGGAGGAGAAGGAAAATACGCTAGAGAACTGGCGAACCAACTCTGAAAGGACGTACTCGACGCCTTCGTCACGAAGGCGACTGCACTTGGATTTCACTCTGCCTTCCAGCTTTACCGATTCAAACCAAGCAATATCGAGTCCGTCGCGACGGATGCAGCGCCATGGACTACACTTAGACCAATCGACCACTTCACACAGTTCTCCACAATCGACTCACTCCATGACACTGCACAGTGGGGAGCCCCGTACCCGCACTCGACCGCGTCTTGGCTTTCACCATCATTCACCAGAACGAACTGCTGCGCGTGCGTATGGATACGAGCTCGAACAGGAACTGGAGCCTCGTACGCATCATCATGATAGATATGGCTGGGCGTCTGATCCATCCCCGGCACCGTCTCCTGTGGCGGCAGCGACAAACTCATCGCCGGTGCCACCGACAATCCCTTCTCCCGCACCACGACCCAGGGCTGAGAGCGACGAGGAGGCTTCGCTTGCTTTGGCACGTTATCTCCAGCAACAAGAGGTAAGACGCAACTCAATGTCAGCTCTAACACGCGCTAGAATCTCAGTTCAAGTTTGTTTCTACTTGCAGAATATTGCCGCATTCGAAGAGTATGAGGCACGTCTACTCCGAGAATCGGTTCAGCAAGAATACAACCAGCAAGCTCATTTGTCTAACAACTTGCTATTATCGGGATTGGAGGGTCAGCAGCGCAATATCGACCCGGATAATATGTCCTATGAAGAACTCTTGAGGCTTGGAGAGGAAGTCGGGGACGTGAAAAAGGAAAGGTGGCGGCAAATGGCTGTTCGAGTGCTGTCAAGTCTCCCAACCCATAAATGGACACATGGCCACGGTGACGATACGTACGTTGCATCTTTTCAGTCCATTGGTTTTTGACTCTTGCCAACCACTATTCGTGAAATTGTTGATGTATACTTGCAGTTGTATCATCTGCCAGTACAATTTTGTACCGAATGACCGAGCGATGACACTTCCGTGTGCTCACGTGTTTCACGAAGGTAAGGTGCAGTTTTTCGCGTTGGACTGGTGCTTTTGTTTTATCAGCTCTTATGTGTGTTTGTGATGGGGTAGATTGCGTTGGTGGCTGGATTCGTGAAAACAACAGTTGTCCTCTATGCAAACGGGAAATCACTTCGATGTAGGGATTTTTTTGTAGGGATGAATGCAGATATTTTGCACAAATACATTCAAACTCTGAGCACTACAGTGTCGACAAGGTAGTCCTTCAATGTTGAAAGCGGAACCGATCGAACGATGCTATCGGTGCTGCTACGGTAGTTTCTTTTGAGGAACGGACAATCGTTTCTATTCCAGCAGGCTGCTCGTCAATTGTGCTCATGGTCGCTTTGGTGTCGATGTCATCCTCTGCTTTCAAACTTTCCGGTGGGTCATCGGGGTCGTCGATATGTTCAGACGCGTCTGTCGACTCAAGCTGCGAGTTGGAAAGTGTACTCGGAATCCTCGTAGGTTCATCCGCTTTGCGGTTCCTGGAAAATGCGAGAAGTTCAATTCGACTAGAAAGAGGGATGCGCGGTTTTCCACTACGAAAGCCTGGACCAATGCTCTTTCTTTTCTTCAGCCTATGCTGTTGGAGCATCGAGCCAGCGCGCATCATTCTTGAAAACGCTGTTTCTTTCGTAGGTATTTGGGGGCTGGGTATCGTCTCCTGAGCATTTGGCGCTTGGTTCTCCTTCAAAATCCCATTATCTCCCACAGTCGGTAGCACACGGACCTTATCGCTTAGCGGATCAAACGAGATGTTTCTTGCCACATCGAATCCGCGTGGCTCTTGGCTTTGAAACGTAGTTGACGAGTCCAGCGTACGCGGCGCGCTCTTCTTTACGCATTCGTCCGGTGGTGACATCTTCTTGGGGTTTATACCGAAAAACCGACTTGTCACGAGTGGACTCTTCGTGGCGGGTTTCGGAGCCGAATCGGAAGCCTCGCTTTGCGTGTTTTTCTCATCGGGTGATGCAGCATTCGAAGCCCACTTGTCCATAAATGACGGAGGAAGTTTTCTTTTCGTGGGGGTTGGCTTCGTTCGAGGAGCGTTGAATACTGCAGCTGCTGCAGACTCTGAGGCGTGGAAGAATGAAGTGATCGCTACTTTCGGTTTCGGAGTGGGTGCTACCTTACGTGACGGTTGCATCGATTTAGTGGTGTTTGGTTGGATTGAGTTGCGAGGAGGCAGTAATGCTTTGGCTGGGAATGGCATCATGGTAATAGGATCCATATATCCATCAGCAATTGCCTTTGCAGCGTCACTAGGAAGCATGGGCCCTACAAAGTCCATTGCTGGGTCAGTTTCCAGTAAATCCGCAGGAATCGGTGTTAGTGGAACCAGTTCCTGTCAGATATGCGATCGTGACAACGGGTTAGCACACGGCACCGAGATCCAATTGAACTGTTGAGCTTTACATGCTTACAAACCTTTTTCGTGGGGCAATACACTCGCTGATGCCGAAACGTCAGTACTGCCTTCCTAAAGTCTTCTTCATAGGTTGCGGGGACTCGGACTTTTCCTTCAAGACGCAATGCTCGAATGATCTGAAAGAAAACGAAGTTAGGATACAGAAGACAACTTGGTTTGCAATATTTCCCTGATGCACCTTCGTAAAGGAGCCGTGCTGTTTCATCGCAGTATAAGCCTTTTTCAGACCAAAGCCTGGAATGCTTGGCAAGTAATCACATCCTGAAAAAATACACATTTCAAGGAACTATATCCTCAAGGTTAGATATAACTAGCTTCCCAATACCACAATAACAAACTATCGTACCATTTGCTCTGTGAACATGTGGAAGCTCATCCCTTTGTTCTTCTTGAGGTTCGCTGTCTGGATTTCCTGTGCAACATTGTCGCGGTCCATTTTAAATAGCACAGTTTGGCAGCCGAAAGGAAGGCAATCCGAGTCTTCGGTGATCACACCGTCCGCGAGTCTGTTCTTCACCAAATACGCGAGTTGAGCGTCTGCTTCGTACGGAGCCACCACATAAGCCACGTTGTGTGCTTTCAGATGCTGATTGAGGCGACACCGGTGCAGAAAATCACAGCAAAATCAGCATTTTTTGCGCAAAGAAGAATCACTGAGCACAGCTCACCTGGATGACTCGATGAGCCATGTAAGGAGACACGTCTGCAGCTCGAATGAAGCACTTGCGAGCCTCACCGAATCGCTTGTTGTTGTAGTGCTGGATGCCGAGTTCTCGGTTCTTCTGTCTCGACTTGCGTCGTTCCTCCTCCGTCCCCTTCTTCATGGGGAGAGGGCCTCCGTCGAACACAACGTAAGGAGTCACACCGTTGTGGAGCAACGCAGTGATCCGATCCATGAAATACGTTACATATCTGCATATTAAAACCCAATCGTGTTAATGCCGCGAACTGTAAAAAGCTACTATCCTTCAGGCTCACGCACTTATCGGTCTCCTGTCCAAGGCATATTTCTTGACTGCACGAGTAGATGGCACGGTGGAGCCTGCGTGTGAGATATTAATTTAAGTTAGAAGAATCTGAATGGATTGAAATATCGAGATTAACCGCGTACCAGCAGTAGCCGTCGATGGCGAGCGTACGGCCCTTGTACTCCTCGATGTTTTTGGTTTCGGTGATGCTCTTGAGCACCGGCAGGAGGCCCGATATCCCCATGACGACACCGTCCCGTACCTCCTCTTCCCTGCTGGAAGGGCGACAGAAATTTGGCGCCAAAAGTTTGCAACTTGTTAAATAACCAGCGTACAAAATGTAAAATAAAATCAAACGAATTTAACGTTAGTTTGAAAAAGTTGCAGTTTTTCGCTGGTCGAATGCAACTCCATGAAGATCGGCGGCGACGTGCCACCGTTCTTCGGTGTCAACGCGGCGCTGGCTGCGTGTTTGTACCTCGTGGACGTCGGACTTAATTCTTCCATTGAGTATGGAGATCTGCCGGGTCAAGACGTATTGGACAACAGTAGCGACTCAATTGTCTCGTTGTGAGTGGGCTGGAAGCTGCCTATACATTGTTGTCTAATATTTGATGTCGTGTTGGGACGACTGCAACAGTGTGCAGGTTTTGCTCCAGATTGCAGCTCTCATCAACCTTCTCATGCTACTAGGCGGCACCTTTCTATTCCGCAGTGGTCTTTTCGGCATGCTTTATTCCCATTTTCGTCTCGTTCTGCTGGTGCATCCGCTGTATATCTGTCTGACCATTATCCTGGGCATTGTTCGAATGGTATGCAGTATCAACCTCCTGTGTGCTTTGTATCTGGTAGTTGTCATGTGTGTTACGCCTATATAGAACTTACTTTCGTTGGGAAATGCTCACGCGGATATCTGGGACGTCCAAGGCTACGCAGCTTTGTCCGGCATCCACAAGATAGGTAGGACTACCATTGTTGAAATGAGTCTAGATAGCGTGAAATTCAGAGTACTTGGATGTCAACTACAGGAGCTCTGTGCTATTATGCCTGCAGTATCTACGCCGTCGAGAAGCTTCGAAACCGCAAGTATTACAGTCCCGAATACTGGATGCGAAAATGAACGCAAGCAAACTTGTTTTTATGAAGTGCAGAGTACACGAAATCGATATCAATCAGTAAACTACAGTGGTTTACTTACATCACAGCTTAGAGCGGACGCTGCAGCTTTGCCTGACTCCATTCCATGTCAGGCTCATTCTCACGCGCAGTTAGGATTTCGTAGCCTGTCTCCGTCACGAGGAACGTGTGCTCGAACTGCGCCGAGCGCAATCCATCTCTTGTCACTGAGGTCCATTCATCAGGCCACGTTTGGTCACGCCACGTGCCGACATTGATCATCGGTTCAATAGTGAAGACCATTCCGGGCTTCATGATGCCAACGGCCTTGTTTTTAGCATAGTGAGGGATGTCCGGGATGCCGTGCATGTGCGTTCCAACACCGTGGCCACAGTATGACTTCACAACCGAGAACCCCTCGGCGGTGGCAACCGCTGAGATATGCTTGCCCAGCTCACGGAACATCGTGCCGGGGCGAATGATCTTGGCTGCCGCAGCCAGACTCTCGAATGTTGTCTTCACCAGGTGTACACCTTCTTCATCAACAGTGCCGACGAGGAATGTTTCGTTCAAGTCTCCGTGATAGCCATTCTTATACACCGTCACATCGAGGTTGACGATATCTCCGTCCTCAAAAGGACGGGAGTCCGGGATGCCGTGGCAAATAACCTCGTTAATCGAGATGCAGACCGACTTGGGGAAGTGATAGTAGTTGAGTGGCGATGGATAGCAGCCGCGTTCAATGCAGGCTTGATGCACGATCTTGTCGATCTCATCTCCGGTGACGCCAGGACGCAGTGCCTTACCTGCGATGTCTAGTACCTCACGGCCGAGACGGCAGGCCTCGCGGATGCCCTTGATCTGCTCGGGAGTGTACACTGGGATGATGTTGCTTTCACGTCGAGCACGCTGTTCCGCTTCGGGGATGCCCGTCTCAGCGTAGTCGGGGTGGTTGACGGTCTCAGGGACCTTGACCGTCTCCGAGACCTTACCAGGCCGCAGCTTGCCCGTGAACTCGTAGCCGTCAAAGGGCGATGCGTTCTCAGCGCGGGCCTGTTCTGCTGCTATGGCCTGTGTAAACATCTTGTGCAGCGCCTTGTGCGAAGACCAGTAACCCTTGAAGCACTCCTGCGAGCAAAATGTGCTCATGGCCGGCGGAATGCCCAGCTTCTTGCATGTCGGACATATGAGCGAGCCGCTCTTGGCACACGTCGGGGTCACACACGAAGCGCCTCCTGTCATCCTGTCTGCTGCCGCTCCAATCTGCGAATGAATGGTTGCCTGGCGCACGGTGCGACGAGGAAGGGATCGAGGTATCTGTGACGTGTGCGAGCGGTGTTTCCTTGTTGCAGAAGCATACGTGTAGCCATCTCTTCCATTAAATCCGAAGTAGGGCTGGGGCGCGAAATTTTCGTACTTAAGTCAACAGCCTCTTCAACATGCTCCTTCGCAACGGCTTCGAATCGCAAAAATGCAAAAATAAACATTTATCTTGTTCACTTCGACAGCATAGATTTCCGTTCTGATCGACAGCCGTCGAGCACGACCTATCAGGATCTCTTGACTATTGTAGAGCCCATCTCAGCTGACCTCAGCGACCATATTTCAGCCAATATCCCGAGAAATATGAGCTAGTCGTGAGGGCACCACAATATCAACCTGCCGACACTCAAGCTATGGATGAATATCATTAAATCTCCAAATTCGCTATAACTCATTATTCATCTTTTTGACCAATCAAATGTGTTCTTTATCAAAATTGGTTATACTAGCGAATGAATGATCACTGTCCACTTTATTTCATCCAATCAGAGACGTATTGCGATTGTGAAGGACGCATATCCACACCTCCGACATATCGCGTCGGAGGTGTCTCCGAGATATTGACATTCTGTTACAGTTCCTCTATCATCCGCATATTTCACGAATAACAACCGATCTCTGAGTCCTCCGACTAGCCATGAGTCCTAGCGACCTTGCGCCTGCCAACACGAAGCGTGCCCGCGAAGGTGCGGCAAAAGAGTTCCTGAAAATCCTGAAAGAGGAAGACGTGAGCTGGGACTACCTGGAGATATGCGTGCAGCGAGAAAGCGCTCCTCTCATTCTCGAAGCCGTAGTGGACAAGTTCGGCACGCACCTGGACTTAAAGTAAAGTCGCAATGGACAACTTATAGCTCGACACACGGTGATGCAGTACTACCGCCAGGCTAAGAACTGGCTGCTTGATCAGTTCCCTCAGCATCGCGCAGCGGTGGAGAAGAATCTACTGAGGAAGGGTCAAGTGCTGGAGCGACACTGCATGAAGCAGAAGTCTGGCTCGTCCGTCAACAAGGCGTCGGCCTACACGAAAAGGCCCTAAAGCAGATGACTGAGTATCAGTATTCAACTGCTGTTACTGCCGCTGACTACCAGGATGCTGCTCTCCTGTGTTTGCTTTGATACCTGTTTGGACGTGCTTCGGACTTAACGATTCTTCGCAAGGCAAACCTTTCAATTGGCTCTGGCGACATCTTCTTCGTTCGCTTCATCCGTGTCAAGAATCCGAAGAACAAGGCCTATCGCTCTTTCCCGGATGATGACTTTTCCACCTGACCACTACTCGTCATTGCTCTTGCGTAAATCACCCATTTCCAGCAGTCTCCGACAGTGTCGCTCCTAAGCCAACTCCCTGAGCAGCAGTTCACGCCTCATTCTTCAATTAAGCCGGAAATGCCATTACTCGACTTGATCAACCATCAGAAGCTGTAGCCCAACCGGAGGTTTTTGGAAAGAAATCGAGTGTCAACCCACTACCCGGTATTCACAGCTACGTGAATCGTGTCCTTGATCGAGTCGTCGCTAATGCTGGGGTGGCGGAGAAATTGACGTCGCATTCGTTACGCCGTGACGGGGCACAGCACGCTAACGGAGCAGGCATGCGCGTCCAATGGATCTTCGATAGAGGAGCGTGGAACATGTCAGCGACGAACAAGGCCTTCAATTACGTCTTCAACACTCCGACAGAGGACCACAAAATCGGACGCGTGTTGAGCAGCCGTGATGCCGAGCAGCCCGTCCATCTGCTAGCGCTAGACATCTTTGACTCCGATACGCAAGCAAAGATTCGAATTGTTGCGTCGTCGCTATTTTGGTCTTCGTCGAGTCTGGAAATGCCAGCATACAACATCAACGCACGAGTTCTCGATACTCTCATGGTATATCTGCTACTCCACTACCGGCATTGAAGCGTGTGAATGCAAACGGCCTTGCTGTTCAACGGATCGAAGCTTGCGCCTTGGAAAAAGCCATCAGCGTGAGCGAGCTACTGGCGTGGTCGTCGCATCTCGTCTGCAAACCAAGCACCACAGTAAATGCACACAACAGTGACGACGCTAAATATCGCAAAACATCAACTATTGCGTCGCCAAGCGGTTTTGATTGAGCAGTTAATCCAAGGCAACCAAAACCTTGACACGCGGCTAGCTATGATGGAGGCCAAAGTCTACAACAAACATGAACCAGCACCACCAGCGCAAGCCCCAAGTGAGGATACAAGCAACGTACCACCAGCAAAGCTACGACGTACCTTTACAGCTTCAAGCTTGAAAGATACCTGGTTTGCGTGGTATACGCAAGCACCTCGTGTGTGGAAGTCAACCAACAAACTGACGAAGCACACACGATCCACGTCCAAGCTGGCCGTCGCATTCATGAAGCTCTTCATCCCAACGGCTTCACCCTGAACGAGAAGGCCGCACAGTACGCAGACCAAGTGTTGGGGGTCGGAAAAGAAGCTGAGGCAGAGCTACTATCCTTTCTTCAACAACACGAAATCGCCGCCCATGAAGCTCAAAACTTCTTGAAGTCTATGCGCGAGCTACACAAGAGCGGTCATCTCAACGACCGCATCCACCGTTATCAACAACTTCAAGCTACAGCCCGCGTCGTGGACCCAGTACCCGCACATACTAACAACACCATTGATATAGTCAGCGCACCGCAATTACCAAAATTTACCGTTGCTTTGTACACCAAATCATTCCAGTCCCTTAGTTGCTTTGTTGGACGTCTGCTCACTCTGCAATTTCCTTCTCCCCCGACATGCCGTTAAAGCCCTCCAAGAACGCCATCAGCTCGGCGAAGGGGTTCAAGACTCTCTGCATGGCTGCTAGCAAGAAGCACAAGATCTGGATTAGTGATGAAGCAATCAGGTACCTCCGCCTTACCATGAACATTGTTGTCGCCTCCGCAAGCTTGCTACCGGAAGCTATCGACGTGATCTGCGCTGCCCTCGCAGGACAAAAGAAGCGGCGAGCGAGTCTTGGCGACGTACCCGAGTGGCTGGTTGCACCTCCTCCTGGTGATGAGGAGGATGGCGGCGAAAACATCGACGGCGAGAAACAGCACCACGTGCGCAAGCGCGGTGGAACTGGAAGCGTGTTAACGGCAAGATGTATTACATGGTGAACTGGGAGCCAACCTGGGAGCCTGGCGTGCACATCCATCCATCTGTTGTCGCTGCCTTCGAAGAGGAGCGCCGCCTTCTTGTCCGCAAGAAGTTCTTCGATGATGGGGCTGTGGAGGACAACTCACTGAACGACACGGAAGAATAAGACCAGTAAGGGAAAAAATAAACCAGGTAAACACAGAGTGTACTGCGTCTTTAGCAGTCTGTTGCTAGAGCAGCGCCGTCGTGCACAAAGCTTAACCTCCGTTAGGAACAACAGAGTAAACATCGTAACAGAGAACAAGGACACAAATTTGAGATCTACGTCGAGCACCAAGCTTAACATCTTTTCAGAACAGCAAGGTTAACCTCAACGCAAGCTAACACACCTCGCACAGCGAGCAGAGGCGGTCGCACGTAACACATGTATACAACATACAACATACAGGTCGCCACCGCCTGTGCCTTGCCGGGGAAAACAAGAATGGTGCTTGCGCTGGCTTTGCGGTGTTACCAGCGACGAAAACCTTGTTGTCGAGTTTGTACCCACGTCTGTCGTGTCGTGTAGTCCACTGAAGAGTAATTACGTGTAAAATTCTCGTTAAAGGCTGAATTTTGGAGCGGGCCCTCATTGCTGAATTTGCCATGATGTGTGAATATGCCCCATGACCTCTAGAAAATACATATTTACGTTTTGTGCTGTTTTCTCGGCCCACACGCCTGGGATTCCGGCTATAGTGCTGCTACAAATCAGATTTGTTTTTAGCTGATTCTGGACTTACAGATTTTTTTAGCCCCCCCCCCCCCCCCAAGCATCAACACTACGAACAGATAATGTACATACAGTCTACACATAACTGTCCTTTTTTTTGCGGTCGGAGGCTGTCGGAGGTCGGATACTTTTTGGTATGGCAACGATTTAGGATCCTTTTCCATTTCTACCCACCGCAAAAACTATTTAGCGAAATGATAGCGAATTACTACAGTAACTTCATTGCAAGTTTTGTTTCTTGTCTTTGTTGACAGATCGCATTTTCTTATCCACAACCACAAAGTCAGCCAGCATAGATGTTTTGAGCGAATTCTGCAATATACTATGTAGTACATGATATGGTGTCCTGTTTCTGGCATTTGAGTTACCAGCCTCACCCAAAGTGAAAGTGTGACTTCTGGCCGCTGCTTCAGTAGGTTAGCTGCAGCTCACAAAGGCTGCAATTTTTAAAAAAAGCATTATCTATGTCGATTAGATCACCACCGCCTTAACAGAACGCCACGCGTTTTCTAAATAGATCACCATCAATTCGGCGCTACAGGGAGAGCCCCCTGATATCGATGCTTCTATATTCGACATTGTGTATTGTAGGCAGCAGCTTTATTTCCGAATCGTTATTGTTAAATTCCGGTATACCCCCCACCCACCCAAGAAAGTTTTCTGGTACCCGTACCCGAAAACCCTGTGATCTGGTCATAAGGTAAGGACTACGCTGACGATCGGCTAAGATCCGGTACGAAGGGCAACTGGACGATGAAGATCACCAAAGAAGAGCAGGTGCCTAGCTAAGATGGGAGATTTAGTGGTTGTAAAGGTAGAGACAGTTGGTGAATAGAATCTAACTACAAATCAGACTCGAATTTGCACTGTGTTATACAAGTGCCTTCCTGCCCTTAAGATCTGGAACGATATTGGCCGTGGAAGCTCAGTGAAGGTGGGAATAGTAGACCTAGCGTCGGTTGTGATACCTGGATATTATATTGTCCGGATCATACCACCTAGTGAACTTTCCCTTACAAGTGAAGACAAAGA